CGTTTTCACACAGCGTCCGTATTATCAGATGGAAGAGTGTTAGTTGCCGGTGGATTCGATGGTCGGACTTATCTAAATAGTACTGAACTGTATGATCCATCAACAGGAACTTGGACAACTACTGGTTACATGAATGATGGACGAGAGGAACATACAGCATCCGTATTAACAAATGGAAGAGTGTTAGTTGCTGGTGGATTCGATGGTCGGACTCATCTAAATAGTACTGAACTGTATGATCCGTTAATAGGACTGTGGACAACCACTGGAAGTATGAATGATGCACGACAGCTCCACACAGCATCCGTATTAACAAATGGAAAAGTGTTAGTTACTGGTGGATTCGGTGTTATTGATGTTCTAAATAGTGCTGAGCTGTATGATCCGTTAACAGGACTTTGGACAACTATTGATCACATGAATGATGCACGGCAGCTTCACACAGCATCCGTATTAACAAATAGAAAAGTGTTAGTTACTGGTGGATATGGTGGTGCTGGTATTTTAAATAGTGCTGAGCTGCACGAAGTGTTCCAAACAAATTAAAGCATAACTTCCTTATTTTAGTAACAATGAGGTGTTTCTATACAAATATTATTATAATTTGTGCATCTCTAATAAATTAATTGATAAAAACAAATTGTTTCTGTCTCTGTATTTTCAGCACCCAGTGGGTGTTTGTCTTATATTCATGCCACATCTACACCCATCCGATTTTCTAGGTCGTGTCTTCAAATTTTTCACTCTATCGAGATAAAATTCGGTTGTTTTTGACAAATTTGTCCATTAATTCTAGACTATCATATGAGTTTAGGTTAAACAAAATATAGAATTTATGAAGAAATCTATTCACTCGTCATATAAAAGTTTGAATAGATTTTTAAAAAAACTTTCTAACTATGAAAACTCACACTAAGCAATAAGAATATATAGAATTATTGCATATTTAACATCTATTAACAGAATAATTATAGTTGACGAGTTGTTTTAATGATTTGCTGTATTTTAGATTATGTGATACATTCCCATGTCTTCAAAAGCGCCAAGGTTTGGGCGATGAATCGCGATTTTTCAAAATATTGACGATTATATCGCCAGTAAAAAATGCTTATTTTGTCGGAATCATTACGAATCAAGACTTTTCGACAAAAAAATCGGCAAAAAGTCCTTAATTTTGGCGATTTTATTGCGATAGATCTCACAATTAATCGGGTGCTAAATCTCGATTAAATCGTCAATTTTCCCCCGATTTTGATGACATGGGTATTATTTTTCATATATAAATTTTCATTGAATTTATCCTTACACTGCACTTCTGCTCTTTTTTTGATTTTGAACATAAAATAATAAGAACTGAATAAAAATTCATAGTATCATAGTCTAGATTACAATAAGCATCTTCGTTATCTCGAAATAAAATCTATTTTAGACAGTTGATGTTTATTGATGAAATCAGATTTATAGTGCAGAAAAATAGAAAATTCATATTCTCTTTAAATAAAATTTATTAAAGAAAATCTTCGTCAGATGTTAAAAATCAATTGTTTATTTTGTATTTACAGATAAGAATAATTAAATTTTATTGCTCAACATATTCAGCTATGCATCGCATAAATTTGTTGGCTTGTTTTGCAACAAATCAATCTAAAAATAATAAGAAATATAATAATACAATGAATTACATAATTAATAGTTAAGAGAATAAAAGCAGGTTTATATAAATCAGATCGACAATACGTTTTTGTAATACTAGGATAATCTCCTTGAACATTATTAACTTTCACACCATATACCCAAACTGAATCTGCAATTAACCAAGCAAAGCTAAATAAGAGTACGATAAATGTCGAAATGAAAGTAATAACGAGAATAATTGTTTCCATTGATTTATTTACTTCTATACCATGAGGAAAATTACGTCTTATATTCATTACTCCAATCAAAGCAAGTAAAATTAGTAATAGATGAATTGAAGCATGAACGATCATGTAAGTAATTACCATAGGTTCTACTGGACATTGACCAATATATGTTATAGCAAATGTTAGATGAAAACCACTGATTATAATTCCTATAGGGATAATTATAAAATGAAGTTTCCGTGAGTAAAAACGAACAGCTCTTTGAAGCCAAATAGGATGTGTTGAGGATGGTTGAATTTTGTTTGATGATTGTATCATTATTTATTTTCTAATCGAATAAATATTCTAAAAAAATTTAATTTTTATCATTCTAAATCGAAATTTTCATCTCAGTTCAATGTGGAAGATTACAGAAAATATTCTAAAAGAAGAAAATATACGTGAGTATTATTCTTTATTATAAAAACACGTCAGATGGATAAAATTTTTTAATAGATTTTATTTTAGAAAAATAAAAAAAATCTTTTGAAGAAATGTATGAATACTATTCAACTAGTTCATTAAAGACATCTCTTAAGTAAAAAGTTGTTCTGCGCTATTAAATAATGTTTTTAAAAGAAATTATATGTGCTCTGTTGAAAAAAACTTTTTTCTTTCAAAGTTCTTAGAATAAGCCGATGACCCGGATGTAATTTTCCTTTTTGATGTTCGACTGATATGGCGATGACAACTCTTTCTCCTCATATTTTTTTCTTTTAACTATCATATATGATGAAAGAAAGAAAGAAAAGAACTAACGTCAGAATAAATATGAAATGCTCACTCTAATCTTGTATTATAGAAACGTCAAATGTAAAAAAAGGACTAAAAATCCAGTTATAATTGATTATCGTGAGAAAAGCACAAAAATTCGTTATAACGAATTTTTAGCCATTGTTTTCATGAGTTGTCAAAGCAAGGTTGATCTATCCAATAGTCGAATCCGATAGATACCTAAGACCATAAATTAATAATGCTTAAATGAAAGCTTATGAAATTTTTAGCAATTGATATATTGTCGACAAATTTCTGACGGATTCTGTCGAATTTAAGAATTTGTGTATTTTTCTCAAACAGATGTTTGTTTGTGAAAAGATAGTCTATAATATTGTTTATAGAACCTTAAACAAACAACTGGTGTAATCATACTCTTAACCACAGATACACCACATACCATCAAGAATCAATCAAATATGTATTTTAAAGAAAAGAGAAAAGCCATAAAAAAAAGTATTAATGATATTAATAATAATTGATAGTTAAATTAGAACATTGTATTTGTAAAATTGAATTGTCTCAAATGATTTTGTCAACGTCTTGTTAATATATATTTGTGTATCACATATGTGTAAATATAAAAATTGTTATCGAAATGATCACAATTATGTTACCGTGATAAGATTTAACTCCACTTACAGGAGTTGTAGTTGTCATAAATGTTTGAATCGAATCCCAAAAATCACATTGTGTCATATTGATTATGTTAAAAGTGAGATTCTGATCAAATCTGACACCTTGTTTACCATTACTCCAATCTATCCATTTAGTTCCATTTACTAATGTTGGATAACCATTTTTCGACATACTTTGCCATGCTGTTATCATTTCTACACTTAAAATTTGTTCATTTGCTGATAGTGTACATATTCCGCTTAGTTGTGGTAAATCTGATATTTCTCCAAATACAAATGCAAGTTCACTAGTATGAGTTGGACCTAAGGCAGAGAGAGCGGCAACTTTTATTGATGATATCCATGGACAACTTGGTGTATGATTCCATAAATAAGTATATGTACCCAAGTTAGTTGTTAATGAAGTTTTGAGAGCGCGTCGTGTTGGACAAGCATATTCGGCATCAGTAATAACAGCAGCAATAGCGTAGAGAGCTGGTACACTAGTTGAATTGAACATTGAGATGGGATAGACAGACGAAATATTGGAAACAAGATTAGCACCAAAGACAGTACTAAGATAAGTATTATAATCATTTGAAGTAACACCCAGTGGATTAGAGAAAGATGACCAAGCAAAGAAAGTTCCTTCCATAGTACCTTTTAATATAAAAATAATTTTCATATATCAATTGAGAATATAAATCTTAATAAAGAAACTTACATGTGCCTGCCATGAATGGAACTTTTGGTGAAGTATAAATTGGTTGTACTGGTATTATATTTCCATCAACATGAGCATAAAAATTAGTAGGTAAATAAAAATATATTGAAGCATTGATAATTGTTGCTTGATTGATTTGATCAACTGTTTTTGAATAAAGACATGTCGTTATCTATTTTGAAAGGAAATCTTTTCTGATATGTAAAATTATTGATACTTACATTAGTTGAATTACTACAACCAAGATTTTGAACAAGTAAAATTACCATTTGTAATCTGTTGTTCAGTAGTTGTGAGATATCTTCCAGAACCTGATTCTGAGATAACACTTGAGAAAAGAGTATTAGCTTGAGGAAGAGTACTAATAATATGAGCAAGAAATCCACCCGTTGATTCACCAAATAGGAGAACAGTTTTCTATATTAAATATATCAAAATAGAAATTTTATCTATTTTCAATGCTATTTCAAAAATAAACAAAATTTTCTCTGAACAACTCTATTAAACAACTAATTATTTTTTCATTGAAAATATCAATAAAATATAAAATTATAGATTAAAATTCTACATACATTATTACCACCGAATGAAACAATATTTTCTTGAATCCATTTTAATGCCAAGAGAATATCGAGAACACCATAATTACCTGTAAAATTTGTTGGTGATCCTAATGTAAGCCAACCAAGAGGACCAAATCTATAATTCATTGAAACAAGAATCGCATTTGTAGCTATAGCACATCCATTACTTAAAGGATCAGCATTTGAACCAGTATCACCACTTCCACCATAGATCCAAACTTTGACTGGTAATAAAGAAGTATTTGTTGCATTTACTGGAGCCCATACATTTAAATAGAGACTGTATAAACAATATCATATGTAAATTACATTTTCAAACTATATTTTATTTACCAATCTTCAGAATAAGTAGGAGCTTCATTAGTAAAAGCACCGAATTGATAACAACCAGCTGAAAATGTCATAGCATTAATCGTACCATTTGGATATGTAGAATTGTATGATATTGGAGCATTTCATCGAAGAGATCCAATTGGTGGTTGAGCAAATGGTATTCCAAGATAAGATGCGACATTAGAATATCGTGATGAACATAATAATCCTAATATAGTTCCATTTCTCACTTGAATAGATACAGTTTGTGACGAAATAATCAAAAATAATGTTTGAAATGTATAAATATATATCCAATAAAACATCTAAAATAATCTTTTATATTTAAATAATTCAAATCATAATGAAAAACTTAGTTGATTTTAAATTAATTGGATAAAAAAATTGATTATTTTCAAAGCTTTGTTATTTATTCTTTCAATTCATATAAATTTTTGAAAAATATATTAATAGAATGTTTGAAAAAGTACATTTTTCTCGGTTCATCTTTTTTTTCTCACTTTCATGTTACTCTACTTTCTTTCAACGCATTATTTCTCAGAATAAAATGTGTGATCTTATCTTTTTCTATGACATGCCAAACGTTTTTTAATCTTACATCTTCATATGCTTCTTAGTAAGCGTTTAATATTTTTTACTAAAATTCACAAAACAATAACTTTTGTTGTTACTTAAAAGTAAATATATAATACTCACTAAATAAAATATAACGTATTTTTTGTTCCTAATCTTGCATTTATAACAATAGTGATCACGATATGAAAAACTCAAAAATAGTTATATGTACATGCTTATATATATATATTTACGTAGGATTCATTCGTATACGCCCAATTACGATGCAAAGGTGGTGCATTTTTCTTTTCTGTTCTCTTGTTTACGTTTTGTTGTATTGGATTGCTCGATTTTTAAATCTAATATTATGATGTTTATATGCACATGACAGCATTCGTATCATCAAAAAAGTGCGTAGAAGTACGTTCCTATATATAATCATTGTCATTAGTTAATATTCTTTTTGATATTCATTTAGAAAAACTATGTTCAATATGAAATTTAATTCTTTATAGAAATGATTTATCTCCATTCTTACAATTATTTCTTTCATTTATTAAGCATATCTTTTCGAATAACAAGTGTGTTTATCAATGAGAGTATGTATAGAATATATTACAAGATAATCATTAAACCACAAAAGTGATATTATATCGAGAAATAACACTAAGGATATTGCCGAATTTCGATAATAAACATAAATCTTATTCTCATGTAAAATTGTGCTGTTCAGCAGAAAAACGACTCTTATATCTGTTAAGTATATGATAATAAGGGTGTGAGTGCTTATGAGCACAAGATACCTATACCATCACACCCTGTTCGAATGATTATTTAGTTATTTCTTATGTTTTAATTATGTGATATATCATGAGTTAGTTTTCTTTATTAGAAAATATAGATCACCATAATCTTGTTTAACCAATAACAAAAAAAAGTAAAGAACTAAATGTGAATGAAAAACCAAAATGATAGAATAACGAAAAAAAAATTATCTGAGCTCTTTATTGCCACTGATGATGTTTATAACTAGAAAATGAAAATAAATTGGCGAGTTAGACAAAATATATGTATTTTTATTCCATTTGATCGTTATTTTCGTTGTCACCTGAATGTTTTGTATTTTTGCAATATCTTCTACCTGTGCATTTTATAAAGTATATTTGTATTTTATCGTGAGGTTACGTTCATGTTGAGCTTTAAGCTGGCGATATTTAAAAACGAAAAACATATGATGATCAGTATTTTCCGAATGGTTTGAACCAATTGTTAAAATAAATCATGACTTGATTTTTGAAAATAAAATAAAATTTATGTTACAAAACATTAGACAATGGAATTAATTCATAGTATATATTCACATGTTGTTATTTTGTTGAAAAAATATTGATTTATTTACTTGGAGATATCTGAAATTCTAGGATTAGGATGTGGATGCATGATATATATTCTAATTACTCACATCGAGAACTCAATATTCATGTCTATTATATACCATTTGATATTAGTAAAACAATCTTAATAAAAACGTGGCGTACAGTCGCGGTGTCGATTCTGTCATTTTGTAGTTGGCGTCCTTTTTTTCGATTTCTTTTCCTTTCAGCAAGTAATTGCAACATCATGTGAAATATATGAACCATGGTGACTATGTATTCATTCAGGTAGGAAGAAAAAATACAAACACATCACATTACCAACATACCACGTTACACAGCACACATTCCATTAAAAGTCTACAATGGTAAATCAAACTGTCACGAACTTTCATACGTTACCGGTAGAACTTGTCTACCGAGTTCTAGATCATCAATCGGATTTTACATTGCTATGTTCAATGACCAATGTATGTCAACGATTTAACATGATCTTAAACACCTATGATCGATATCAGGTAAACTGTTTTCTATCATGACAGTCTAATTTTTGTCTGTTGACCTACAAATTCTTTTTCATTCCAATAATCTCTATACAAGTAGAATCGCTTCAATAAAATATACGTGAATGAACTATTTGTTACATAAACAGAATACTTCTTCAAGAAACGCTACTTTCAAAGCAATTTTTTTCTAAAGCGTTGCCGCGAAACTCATTCCATATTTAGGAATTTTTCTCAAGAACAAAATCTCAAGAATAATTCATCACTAAAACAAAACATCGAGTACACTTCGTAAGAGAGAGATATTATTCGATATTTTAGCATATATTCGTCTTTCAATCATCATGAATCTGATATTATGTAATAAATTCTTTAACTCTTTCGTTTCCATCAATCAATATTGTTTCATACACATAACCGTACGATGTCATCGAAAGCGCCTACCGAAATCAATGATTATTCTTATCAAAACAAATCATGCCTATTAATTTAGCTAGATTAAATAATTGAAATGAGGTTTCCATGCAAAACACATTTCCAATCTCGTCCATGAGCCAGAACGAAACTCATCCACAGACTACTAATATGGAACTGTATTTTCCCAATATCTGCACAATACTAACAGGCGACGGAAGACTTCAAATTGTTTTCCGCAGCAGCAGTTGACAGACTATGATTTATAACCCAAAACTTTTTCTTTCTTTAACAAACAAATTTGAGAATTAAATCAACTGATAGATAAAAAGATTCTATGCATACGCAAAACTCAGCTTTCTTCGCAACAATCTTGAGTGTTGTACAAAATCTAAGTTCACAGAAGTATTAAGACTCATATTCACGTAGTCTTCAATGGAGTCCTATCAACATTTATTTCATTGATCTAAACCCACATAGAAACAGCCAATTATTTTGCTTTTTGATCTATACTGTGTCTTTACTTATACTTTTTCATCTAGACACTCACAACACTGAAGCTCAGTTATAGTAAAATCGAAGATGTCGGTGCCCAACGTTTGGCTGATGCATTACGACACAATACAGTAACTGCTTTTCTCTCTTCATGTATATTAAGTGTTTAGTCACAATTTTTCATCTAGACACTCACCACATTAGATCTCCAATGTACTAGAATCGGAGACGCTGGATTACAACATTTGGTTGATGGATTACGACACAACAGAGTAATTCTCTTTCTCTCTTCATGTATATCATGGATCTAGTCACACTTTTTCGTCTAGACACTTACCACACTGAATCTCCGGAGCAATGGAATCGGACCTGTTCGAGCACAACATTTGGTTGATGGATTACGATACAACACAGTAACTGTCTTTCTCTCTTCATGTATATTACGTGTTTAGTCACACTTTTTCATCTAGACACTCATCGATCTAGATCTCATGGGCAATGGAATCGGAGATATTGGAGCACAACATTTTGCTGATGGATTACGACGGAACATAGTAACTCTCTTTATTGATATCATGTGTATACTTACATTTTTTCGTCTAGACACTCACCACACTGAATCTCAAGTACAATGGAATCGGACATGTTGGAACAAAACATTTAGCTGACGGACTGCGACACAACACAGTAACTGTCTTTCTCTCTTTGTCTATATCATGTATTTACCTAAACTTTTTCATCTAGACACTCATCGAACTAGATCTCACAAACAATGAAATCGGAGTTGTTGGAGCACAACATTTGGCTGATGGGCTGCGACACAACACAGTAACAGTTTTTCTCTCTTTATGTATATCATATGCTTACTTACATTTGTTCATCTAGACACTTACCACACTAAATCTCTGTGAGAATAGAATGGGTGATGTGGGAGCACAATATTTGGCTGATGGACTAAGACACAACACAGTAACAGTTTTTCTCTATATCGTGTGTATACTCACACTTTTTCATTTAGACGCTTACTACACTAAACCTCTGGGACAATGGAATCGGAGATGTTGGAGCACAATATCTGGCTGATGGACTGCAACATAACACAGTATGTGTCTTTCTTTCTTTCTTTCTTTCGTTCTTTCTTTATCTATATTATGTCTTTACTTACATTTTGTCATCAAGACACTCACCAAACTAAATCTTGGGAGAAATGAAATCAGACCTGATGGAGCACACCATTTGGCTGATGGACTGCGACACAATACAGTAACTGTCTTTCTCTCTTCATGTATATTACGTGTTTAGTCACACTTTTTCAACTAGACACTCATCGAACTAGATCTCACAAACAATGAAATCGGAGTTGTTGGAGCACAACATTTGGCTGATGGAATGCGACACAACACAGTAACCGTCTTTCTCTCTTTATCTATATCATGTCTTTACTTGTAACTTTTCATCTAGAAACTTACCACACTGAATCTGTCGGCCAATGAAATCGGATATGTCGGAGCACAACATTTGGCTGATGGACTACGACACAACACAGTAACAGTCTTTCTCTATTTATCTATGCCATGTCTTTACTTACACTTTTTTATATAGACACTCACCACACTAAATCTCTGTGAGAATAGAATGGGTGATGTGGGAGCACAATATTTGGCTGATGGACTACGACACAACACAGTAACTGTCTTTCTCTATTTATCTATGCCATGTCTTTACTTACACTTTTTTTATATAGACACTCACCACACTGGATCTCTCTTGCAATCAAATCGGAGATATCGGAGCTCAACATTTAGCTGATGGATTACGACACAATACAGTAATTGTCACTCCCTCTTTATCTATATGATGTCTTTACTTACATTTTTTCATTTAGACACTCACTACACTAGAAATCTGGTGGTACATGGTGGAAGCTAAAGCTAAAGATATAATCGGTGAATTTCTGGAACGCAATAGAAACAGAGGACAATAGTTACCTTGAATGGAAATATTAGATATATTTCGATGACGAACAAATAAGAAATGATGATAGTGATGATGTGGCATATATTTTTATTGTGTTGTTATATTCGAAAAAACAATAAAAAAGTGCTAATTTTCAAAGTTAATGTGTACTCTGATGATAAGTCTTGCTTAGGTTTTTTGAGTATGTGGTGAGGGGTTGATGTGTTAAAAAAGATAAATAGGATTTTTCTGAAATTTTTTTGCTACTCTATAGAATGTGCAAAATGAGATTGTGGTTGTGTATAGCACTACTAGAATTCGAGGGAATTATTTTCAGTTATAGTAAGTGATAAAAGGTTTTGTAGGGTAGCAGCATACTTCTGTAAGATCTTTCAGGGATACCTTGAACGATAAAAGATTCCTTTTGATAATAGTAAAATCCTGAGACGTTCTTTTGAGGGTGTGTGTGTCTCGTCTCTTTATCTGTACACGCTCATACCCTTAAGACAGTTCAACAAAAACAACAGGAAAAGCTAAGCATGGCTCTTTTTCTACCCATGTTTTGACAGTTGAAACTAAAGCTGATGACAGATAATGAGTCATTAGCATTCTTTCGACATAGGTACTTTAAATTCTTGATTTAGATGAACTGGTATATGGAATCAGTGTCAATTGTCATTTGAAAGTGTATAAGCTTCAGTCGATTCTAGAATAATTATAAATATTTAAATCTAGTTAACTTTCTATCTCTTTTATGTAACAATTACATTCTTCTCTCTATGGATTGACATGAATCAATATATGGAAAGAACAGGTAGAAATAGCTGATCGATTGAAACATTTGTTGATACAGAATTAATATAAACCTCTATTTTTTCATGATATTAGTTTGATTAAACTTTAATGCAATAATTCCATACTCATAAAAGTGTAATGCATCTTTTTTTGTATTAATTAAGTTTGACCAAATATTCTGTTATACTTTTTAGATAGCAAAACTAATGTGTTCAAACATAAAACTGTAATTTAGTTGCTTTTTTAGTAGCTTTGTTTTTATAATGTAAGTCTGATGAAAGTATATTAGTAAAGTCTTTAACTTTATACTATAAAGTTTTCACAGATACTTATCAGGTCAGGTCAAAACCATCTTGATGATATATATGAAGTGTGGACTTAACTTCAAGTACACAATGAATAGATCATTCAGTTATCATTCTCACAAATTTTATGCAAAGTAGTTATCTAACATAGTAGTAGAATTAGATCTGATATTAAATTTATGCTATTAACCAATTATTACAACAACACTCTTTTCTATTATTTTGTATCGAAGAATTATCTAGAGTTCAAAATGGTTTTATTCAATAGAAAAAAACTTTATAAAAATCGAACAAGAAGTTAAGTATTTGAAATGAGTTCATAATTACTTTCAACATAAAATATTTATCTATGAACACATAAAAAAAGCTAAAAAATATTTTTATATGATATTTCTAATTATACGCAACCACTAGACATCTCTTCGTCATCAATATGCTATAGACGGACAAATAACGGAAACATTCGATCATCTTGAATGTTAATTGAGTTTTTACTTTTTTAATTTTTTAAAATTAAAATTCATGATTTTTTCAGCTCTTTATAAAACATCACAGTTTTTGATTGTCTTTTCACAATTTCTATAACTAATCTTGGAGATTATTTATCATACCTATGATTATTATCTATTTATGTGTTATCTATAAATAGATTACCAAATGGATACATTGATAGATGACCTGCCGATATTCAATTCTTTTATCTTGAACACGAAAGATAATTGTATTTGAAAATTATTTTGAGAGTGAAGACATACGTAGATATAGATACTCTTTTAGTTGACTTGCTCTAATATCAAACTCTCACTCATCTTAAACTACGCCTATACTTGTATCTACTTTCATCTAAGTCACACCCACGCTCTTGGCTTAATTATCGCGTCACTAATGTCATGAATGTTCAATTGAAGCATTTATATATAATAACAGTGAGATTATAATCGATACGATTAATTTTTAAACAAGCAGGATACATCCATATGGGTTCTTTTCATGATCTTTATTTTTTGTTGTTGTACTGATCTACTTACTAATTGTCTGATTGATCAGTTAGATAGCACAACGCGAATAACAAAATAACAATGAAAGATATTGTATGATACATAGATCAAATGAAGAAGAAATAATTCTTTTTTTTTTCTTGTCTATGAAAAAAAACATATAGACTAGCGGGGCAAATGTATAGACTTTTTTTCATTTTTCACTTGCAAGATCGATATCTTCGTTGATATTAATGATAGAAAAAAAATTTCTTCACAAGAAATATAGCTCGAACATTTTTCTTTAGTTTACTGTTTTCCAATTTCTGATATCTTGCAGAACACCGAATCTACACCTGTTTTTGTGAGACCTACTAAGCGATTATACATTTACCCCCATTTGGGGCTATTGTATACTTCTTCGTCGTCTATCGGGGCGAATGTATAATGTCTACTAATTTCAATATGAACAGTAAAATCAAAGTTTAACATCGATGCTTGTGTTTACTAAAAATTTTTTTACACCAGATTGTAGCTCAATCATTTCTCTACAAGTGTATACTAATCTTACTCAATAGCTAATAAGTCAGCTCGATCATGAAGCTTTTTCCTGAGAGCACTATTGAAAAAAAATAAAAAAATTAGTCACACTTGGGGTAAATGTATAATGCTATTGATATAGCGGGGGTAAATGTATAAACTCATTATTTTTAGCTGGAACTAATATTTTAAATTTTATACCTTGTTGTCAATGTTTTTTTGAATTGAGTGCAACAGAAAATATCTTCAGCTCGTCAAGCTCTACAAGTGTATATCACTTTCTTCCTGTTCTTT